TTTTGTAGGTTTTGTTTTTACTGAGTCTTTATGTTTTTCCTCTTTATATTGATGAGTAGGTTTGTTAACTTTCTTTGTGGTTACCGTGAAATTTACCCTTATAAGTTTGAAGCTGTCTATTATTACTTGGTATTGCCTTGCCTTCTTCTCCATTCGAAGGTTCCATACCTACACCATTTATTCTGTCTTTTATTGTTCTGATGTTGTTGTCATTTAGAGATTAACTGCTCTGATTCCCTGTTGTATTTCTTTTGGTTTTGGATAGTCCTTGAGAGTTCATTTTCTAGATTGGTATCTGGTTGGTATGATCCTGTGTCCTAGATTTAGCCTGTGAGCTAATGTTGTTGTTTTCCAATCGAAAGTCTCCCTTTAATAATTCTTGTATGTTTGGTTTGTTGAACCCTACTTTTGTGATATATCTCTTTCTGTGTAAAATTAAAATCATCTTCAAAACAATCATTTTGATATTTTTCACTACAGCCACCTTTGGAGTTCCTGTTTGTAGTGTCAGAACATGTCCACAAATTCTTTGATATTCCTCCCATCAAAAAGTGGGGCTTAATTCCACTTCCCTAGAGTATGGGAGCCCTGGTGGCGAAGTGGTTATGAGGTAGGCTGCTAACCAAAAGGTTGGCAGTTTTAATTCACCAGCTGCTCCTTGGAAACCCTATGGGGCAGTTCTACTCTGTCGTATAGAGTAGCTATAAGTCGGAATCGACTCGACAGCAACAGGTTTGGTTTGATGTTTTCAGAGTATGGGTGGGACTTAATAACTTGCTTCGAACAAATAGTATATGGTGGAAATGACTGTGCCACTTCTAAAACTAGGTGTAAACGGTGTTAAAGTCTCCTCCTCCTCCTCTCTTTTGGATCACATGGCTCAGGGGAAGCCAGTGACAGGTTGTTGGGATACTCAGGAAGCTCTATGGAAAGGTCCACATGGCAAGGAACTGAGGCCTCTTGACAACAGCTGTGTGGTGATCCATCTTGGAAGCAGAGCTTCCAGCTCCAGTCAAGCTTTCAGATGACTGTATTCCTGGTCAACATTTTGACTGCAACCTCAAGAGAGACCCTGAGCCAGAACCATCCAGCTAAGTTGCTCCTTGATTCCTGACCCACAATAATGCCTATGAGATAATAAATGTTTACTGTTTTAAGTCCCTAAGTTCTGGAGTAATTTTTTATACAGCATTAGATAATACAGTGTTATATAATGAAAGAAATTTGGTTAACAAAGTCATTTGCAACAGAAAATAGTCGTATCTGTGTTCAGATTGAGATTTGGCTGAATAATGGATTTTTTGTCTACTGTTCTCTTCCTTGGTAAGCTTAATGCAACACAAAAAGAAAATTTATCTGAATTGGTATTCTCTAAAGTTGTGTACAGCATTTATTTGAGATTATTTAAATTACTATTTGGTAGACAGTATGCAATAGTTCTAAGGGTCAAATTTAAATAAAGGGAAAACTGCTGTTGTGTGCGATCAAGTTGATTCTGACTCACAGTGACCCTACAGAACAGAGCATAACTGCTCCATAGAGTTTCCCAAGCTGTAATCTTTATGAGAACAGATTGTCTGGTCTTTTCTCTTGCAAAGCAACTGGTGGGTTCAATCTGCCACCCTTTTGGTTAGCAGTTGAGGGCTTTAACCATTGTGCCACTAGGACTCCTTAAGGGAAAACTAAAGTGTGTTTAATAGTTTAATAAAAGTTGCTCAATTGCTTTTTATAGTAGGCAAGAGTCTAAATTACAACTTTTAAAAATCATTGAACAGGGACATAAGACTAGTGTAAAAGGAGTTAAATCCATCTCCCTGGGGCTGTTCTCTATATTCAACCTCCTTCCCCCACAACCTGGTTTTTAATGGCTTACTACATTAGGTAAGCAATATATTAGAATTCAGACAGATCCTTATTCGATTTCCAACTCTGCCTCTTGTTGATTATGTGACCTGTGGCAAGTTATTTAACACCCTCTTCATTTTACTTTCTTCATCTATAAAATGGGGCCAGTGATCACTACATAGATGGTAGGCTGATTTCAAAGATTACATGAGATTAATGAATGTACAGTACCTAAGGAAGTCAGTGGGCTCATGATCAACTCTTTATAAATGTCAATCCTGCTCTCACCTCCAACTACTGTAATAAGATATATTTCACAATACTTGCAAAAAAATTAAGAGGGAAGAGAAGTCATGTCAGAGTTAAATATTCATTATTTTCTCAAAAGTACTTAACATCAGGCAAAATACCCTTTTCTTGGACCTGAACTGTCCAAATTCTCCAATATGCAAAATCAAAACGATGATACTGCAGAAGTTGGAGCAGAGGACAAGCTCATCTCTCGGCCACCTCTGTACTGGCCAAACCTCCGAGAAAAGTGTACTGACACTTACTAACTGGTCCAGCTGGGCCCTCAAGGCATCTTTCTATACCATTCATACCAAATGAACGTGGGTGGCTATTCTACTAGTACAACAGAACTTTAAATCCTAAAACTGTTTAAGGAGTTTGCCTTTTGATGAAAATGTTATAATGTTAATGAAACAGACTTTGTCAACAGTATTTTAGAAGTGATTTTAACGTAAACAAAAATCTCAACTTACTCTTCAGCAGGAAGGCCAATTAACAACAACTTGTCAGATTCTTTCCAATAAGCCACATGAATCTGTTTCCCACTTAAAAGAAGGGAGGAACTAAGAAAAATAAAATCAAAATAAGGTTAGAATATCCTTAAGTACCAAAAGATCATAAGCAGTTATTCATAAAAGATTGCATATAGTATGATTTAAGAACTGCTTGCTTAATAAGCAAATTTCTTAGCATATACCTAGCCACTACACAGAAAAGGCAAGGGATTACATGACAAAAAAAATATATTCGAAAATATTAAACACACTCACCCACACACCCACATCTAGGTCAAACAAAAGTAAACCCATTCCAAATAAAAAAGTTAATATTCTTTTGCTAACATTAAGTGCTATATGCAATTTTTTTCGACATACAGCTCCCATCCCAGTTTTTAAACTTAACAAACCTATTCTGACTGCCTATTTAGGTACAAGATTTGCTAAAAGAAATTACAAAGAAAGGAAGATGTGGTCCCAGCTCATAAAATGATAATTCATTATGAAACAGATATATAAACAAGTAACCAAAATATATGTCCCTAGGTGGTGCAAATGGCTTATGCCACACTACTAACTAAAAGGTTGGAAGTTCAAACCTACCCAGCAATGCCAAGGAAGAAAAGCCTGGTGATCTTCTTCATTAAAGACTATAGCCAAGAAAACTCTATCGACCAGTTCTACTCTGTAACACATGGGGTCACCATGAGTCAAAATCGACTTGATGGCAATGGGTTTTAACAAAAATATAAGTCAAATTGAAGTGTTCCCAATGAAACTTTTAGGGGTGATGGATATATTCAGTATCTTGATTGTGGGGATGGTTTCAGCATACATACCTATGTCAACACTAATCAAATTATACATTTTACATATGTGCAGTTTACTGTACTTCAATTATACTTCAATGAAGTTGGAAATGTGTTCTAAAAAGAGATACAATAATGAACTACATAAACATAGAAACACAATGATTCCTTCTTGTGGTGTGGGTAGGGGGTGGGAAGAAGATCAGTTAAAAATATAGTTAGCATTTTTTTCTTTAAATGAAAATACATAAATCAGTCTTTATCTGCTGAATCCTTAGGATATAGAACACCTTCTATACTACCTTAGATAAGTGAGTGGAATTTTAAATATTAATTACTAACATATTTTTTTCAAAAAGAATACTATTTTTGCCTGAATAAAGTTTAAAAGTGTATATACTCTTAGACAAATATTAGACTCTTATAGTCACACTTTAATATCGTTATTGGAAACCCTTGTGGCCTAGTCATTAAGAGCTACAGCTGCTAACCGAAAGGTCGGTAGTTTGAATCCACCAGGCGTTCCTTGGAACCTATATAGGGCAGTCCTACTCTGTCCTATAGGGTCGCTATGAGTCGGAATCAACTCAACAGCAACAGGTTTTTTTTTATGGTTTAAAAAACGTGTATACAACTAAAGCGACACACACATTGCTAAAGAACCCCTGAAATAATTTTCATACTTATCTTGTTTCTTAAAAAAAAAATTTCTATTTATTGCTTTACACATGTAATTAATAACAAGATCTAAATATTAATAACATCTACCCTTTACCGTTAAAAAAAAAAAAAAGCAAAAAAACCCAAACTCATATGGAGAAACCTAAAACAAATTTCCTGTCTAATAAGATGGAAAAAAAGGCCTGCAACATACTTTTATGAATGAAAATTTATACACTAAACGGAGCCTCAGTTACTACTGTTTTTAAACTAATACTTTCTGTATGTCGTTACTGTGTGCCGTTGAGTCTATTCTGACTCATAGCGACCCTATAGGACAGAGTAGAACTGCCTCATAGGGTTTCTAAGGCTGTAATCTTTACGGAAGCAGACTGCCATATCTTTCTCCTCCAGAAGGGCTGGTGGGTTCGAACTGCCAACCTTTTGGCTAGCAGCCGAGTGCTTAACCATTGCACCACCAGGGCTCCTATTTTTTATATACACTATATAAAAAGTTCCAGAGTTAAATGTGACTTTTACTTAGAAAAACAAGGAAATTTTTCTTTCTGTTGTCTTGCTGTCTTGTAGATCCTCTTTTAAAATCATAGAGGTATCATTTTTACCAGAAATGGCAAAAGAAAAAAAAAGCTGAACCCTAGAAAATCCAACTTGATATTATCAGTATCATGGGGCTCTTAAAATTTGCAAAATTTGTGATTTCTACAATTGTTGAAATATTAAGGAAGGATAATGGTTTATAATCCTTAAATTTATTGTACGAAAAAGAAAAAACTCAAAAACTTTGAACTCTCCCCTCCATAAGTTAACATGGCATTTCAGAATCGGGGCTTTATAAATCAATATGGTCTGGGATAATCTGGTTCTATAAAGACTATATGATATGTTTTATTATTCAAAAAATTATTTGATTTCAATAAGGTCTGCCTATCCATCGCTGAATAAAACTATCCATTACCAAATAAAACTATCCATCACTTGAATAAAACTATCCATCACCAAATAAAACCATCCATCACTGAATAAAACTATTCACCACCGAACAAAAACTATCCATCACTGAATCCAATCCTGCACGCTGAATACCCCTCAGAAAGTGTATTGTTCTGTATTTTCCTATCACTGTTGTAAGAGCAGAACATTTTCTAACCATATAAAAAGTTCACTTTTTGAGTCATTCTTACCAAACACAAAGGTGTTTCCTAGCAACAGTTAACAATTAAGAAAAAAAAAAAAGAACACAAAAAAGCCATTGTTCTTTTTGACGATGAATGCAACACCATTCCTCTTCAATTTGTCATTCTGGGCATAGTAGACCATATGACTGTCTGATTCAAAATGGCCAGTACCAGTCCATTTCAGCTCACTAATGCCTAGGATATCAGTGTTTATGTGTTCCATTTCATTTTTGACGACTTGGAATTTTCCTAGATTCATACTTTTTACATTCCACGTTCTGATTATTAATGGATGTTTGCAGCTGTTTCTTCTCATTTTGGTCATGCCACATCGGCAAACGAAGGGCCTGAAATCTTTACTCCATCCACATCATTAAGGTCGACTAGTTTGAGGAGGCAGCTCTTCCCCAGTTGTATTTTGAGAGCCTTCCAACCTGAGAGGCTCATCTTCCAGCACTATATCAGATAATGTTCTCCTGCTATTCATAAGGTTTTCACTGGCTAATTTTTTTCAGAGGTAGACTGCCAGGTCCTTCTTCCTAGTCTATCTTAGTCTGGAAGCTCAGCTGAGACCTGTCCGCCATGGGTGGCCCTGCTGTTATTTGAATACTGGTGGCATAGCTTCCAGCATCACAGCAACACACAAGCTACCACAGTAGGACAAACTGACAGACGCGTGGGGTTAATTAATAGAAACAATTATATTTGTATAACAGACACGATTTTCCTTGTATTAGCATTTTGTTTGTCAGAACCAAAGAAAAGAACTTGAAAGGAAAAGAATTTAAGCTAATTAAAAATCAGTTATTACCTAGTAACTTGTGTCCCAGTTACATTTTCCAGCATGTCACAGAGTGTGAGAAATATCCCTCTCACACTTTTAAGTTTCTGAGATGCTTCAGACACTGGATAATGATAAAGAATTTCCTGCTGTTAAATGAAAAGAAACAGAAATCAAACCCCCAAATTTTTCAACCTTATTTTTGTCACGTGAAGTTCATACTTTGTTTTAAGAAAAGAACAAAAAATGAATCCTTTCAGCATCAGATGGAGTTTTATTCAAACACAGGATATGCCTGGAATTTTAACCCATTAACTAGCATTTAAAACATTACATCTGCAAATAAGTTAGAGATTGTCAAAACTGGTTATGATACCAAAATATATATTGAGTAAGATACTGATTAGTTGGAGTAATTAAAATGAACGTCAAACAATGTTTTAAAATTTAATCTCCTTTACAAGAATTTCTAATAGTAATATTTTATTATATTCCATTATACAGATATTCTTACCCCTTGTAGTTACATATCTACATAGACACCACATGTAACTTTTAAGAGTCTTTAATTACTTTAATACTGACTTTTGAAAGATAATCTTCAACATCTTTGGATGAAATAATTAAATCTTTATTTACACCTAAGACAAGACTGCAATTAAACTTACAAAGTGGGAATACAAAACTAAATTAAAGGAGTACAGATAAGGAAAAAAGAACTATTACATATAATTTGATCTGTCTTATTAAAGGAATTTGCATACTACAAATTAATATGAACTGCAACTTTAAAATACGTTTTATTTTAATTACAATAAATACTAGCGCTATAATTCACAAAATGCTTAATATTTTTCTATTTTCAAGAATAGCAAGCTCCCAGGAAATAGTTTTTACAAAATAAAATAACAAATTTCAAAACAGAATGTGCACTGTGCTAGAGCTTTTATAGGAAGGGATGGACTATTCTGCACCCGGCTGTTTGCTCTTACTTAAAGCAACATGTCATTTTTCGCCCAAAAGCAAATTAAAAGCAGGCAGATGGAAACCACACAGAATTCAGAGTACTGTGCAGCTGTACTGTTTAGTGACTATATCCATACATATTACTATAGTCATGATTGAAAGTCCAAGTTCCTTAAATATCATCATTTCTTAGTTTTCCTTGGTTTTCTATGACTTTAAAGATTGTTCTACACCTTACTTTGGTCTCTATATGTAAGAAATAATCACATGACATAATGTCCATGTTATGGCAACTTTTACAATAGGACAAATGTAAATAACGGTAAACTAGAGACATCTGTTTTTTACATTTAATAAGTACATTCAACAGACTCAAATTGCTGGAATACGCTGACCACATACACTCTGGCTAACAACTCAAATTTTCTTGCAATATTTCTAGAGTAAAAAAACAGTTAGCAAAATATTGTTCTATTTCTAGAAATGTAGCCAAACATCAGTTAAGATTTTCTGTTATGGCTACTAAATAAATTTAAACCTTGGCTGATAAATAATTTTAATGTATTTTGCCAAAACACGAAACACTGCTTTAAACGAACCACCATATGCTCTTTGATTACTTACCTGAAATCTCAATTACCAGCTAATGTTTCTAAATCTTGTAACTTGAAGAAGTTTTTATTAAATATGTAATTAACAGAAAAACAAAATGATCCTATGACACTTTATAGTAAAATATGTCATACCAGTAAAAAAGGTCATACAGGAAAGTCTCCGTTCCAGTTATAAAAGTCTCACTATTAAAGACCTGGCAAGCTCTCCAGTTCCTAACCAATTTAATTAGCTGTACATTTAAGTACTTGTTAGCAGCATGCATTTGCAGCAGCCTCCACTTTGTTCATTAAGAATAAAAAGCCTTTCCTAATTACAGTGTTGATACAGGGCTGGCAACAGACAGAAACCTGTTCATGTGAGAAATATCAACAAACTTCCCATGGAAAGAAAGGACAGGTTCACAAAAGATCTTAGCAATAGCCTACACCAAAATGATCTAGAAAGATTCAGGTTGTTACGATCCTAGAAAATTGTGTATTTTATTTAATAAATGCTTAAATGTCTTATTTATCTAAAAGATATAAGAGAAAAGTAATACAAGCAATAAATTAGCATTATTAACTCTAGTTAATCACTATATTTTTCAGAACACAGAAAATTACAAAAATAATCTAAGTAAATCTCTTATTTTCCATTTCAATTATTGACTAAATTTGGACATATCAAGCAGCACAAGGAAATATACCTTTTGGATAAAATATCCTTAGCACTGAGAATATAGGCTGAAAGGATTTCAAAAGCAAAGAAATATAGATTAGTTAAACACTTTTTAGATCTCACCTCTACTTTTACTGTACCCTCATGCAGTAAAACAACTAGATCTATGAACTTGTTGAGCTGTTAGACATGCAAGAAGTAGAGGTTTCCAAGGATATCCTCCTCAGACCCTTCCACTCCCCTTCTTTGGCCCTACCAACTGCCAAAGCAAGCTGAGGCAGCAGCTGGGAGTGGTGAGTGGTGAGGACAGAGGCAGGGCTGTCTTGAAGGCTCATGCCTAAAACAGCTCCAAATAGGCTAGTGGCAAGGTAGGTGAGCTGAGCTTAGGATGATTGTGTTAAACCCAGACCCTTGAGTAAGGCTTAACTGCCCTACGTCAGTGAAGGAAGCAGAAGAAGCAAATTTTCTTGGGAGGAAGGTATTCTTACTTTAGAACCACAGCTTTCCCAAAGATAAAATCAAACATTAAGTTCACAAAGATCTCCAAGCACATAGGAAAGAAAGCCACCTCAAGTGAGAGTACCCTCAGGATAAGAGACAGCAGAATGAGAAGATAGAGAATAGAGAAGAGCTCTGTATGAAAGTTCAGAGAAATAAACAGCAGAATCACAAAGATGAGCAAGCAACAAGAGACTACCAGGAATATTACGGCAGACTGGAAATGCAGATTAGTTAAAAACTTTTCAGGAACTTCTGGAAATGAAAAATGTACATTGTTTAAATAGAAAATACAATGGAGAGAATAAATGAAAGTTTAGACATAGCAGAAGAAACAAACTAAACAAAGAGGAGACAGATTCCTTACAAAGGAATGACAGACTGTAGTAGACTTCTTAACAGCAACAATGGAAGTCAGAAGACAATGGAATGCTACCGTAAAACAGATTAGAGAAAATATCTCCCCAGCTGCACTGAAGGCATTGATGAAAAACAAGGCTCTAGGAATTGACGGAATACCAGTTGAGATGTTTCAATAAATGGATGCAGCGCTAGAGGCATTCACTCGCCTATACCAAGAAATTTGGAAGGCAGCTACCTGGCCAACCGACTGGAAGAGATCCATATTTGTATCCATTCCAAACAAAGGTGATCCAACAGAATGCGGAAATTATCGAACACTATCATTCATATCACCACAAGTAAAATTTTGCTGAAGATCATTCAAAAGCAGTTATAGCAGTACATTGAAAGGGAACTGCCAGAAATTCAAGCTGGATTCAGAAGAGGACGTGGAACCAGGAATATCACTGCTGATATCAGATGGATCTTGGCTGAAAGCAGAGAATATCAGAAAGATGTTTACTTGTGTTTTATTGACTATGCAAAGGCATTCAACTATGTGGATCATAACAAATTATGGATAACATTGTGAAGAAAGGAATTCCAGAACACTTAATTGTGCTCATGAGGAACCTGTACATAGACCAAGAGGCAATTGTTCAAATAGAACAAGGGGATACTGCATGGTTTAAAGTCAAGAAAGGTGTTTCAGGGTTGTATCCTTTCACCATACTTATTTGATCTGTATGCTGAGCAAATAATCCGAGAAACTGGACTATATGAAGAAGAACATGGCATCAGGATTGGAGGAAGACTCATTAACAACCGGTAATATGCAGGTGGCACAGCCTTGTTTGCTGAAAGTGAAGAGGACTTGAAGCATTTACTGATGAAGATCAAAGACCATAGCCTTCAGTACGGATTACACCTCAACATAAAGAAAACAAAAATCCTCACAACTGGACCTATAAGCAACATCATGATAAATGAAGAAAATACTGAAGTTGTCAAGGATTTCATTTTACTTGGATCCACAATCAATGCCCATGGAAGCAGCAGTCAAGAAATCAAATAATGCATTGCACTGGGCATATCTACTGCAAAAGATCTCTTTACAGTGTTAAAAAGCAAAGATGTCGCTTTAAGGACTAAGCTGCACCTGACCCAAGCCATGGTGTTTTCAATCACCTCATATGCATGCAAAAGCTGAACAATGAATAAGGAAGGCCAAAGAAGAACAGCTAACTTTGAAATATGGTTTTGGTGAAGAATATTGAATATACCATGGACTACCAGAAGAACGGACAAATCTGTCTTGGAAGAAGTACAGCCAGAATGCTCATTAGAAGCAAGGATGGCAAGACTTTGTCTCACATACTCTGGACATACTATCAGGAGGGACCAGTTCCTGGAGAAGGACATGATGCTTTATAAAGTAGAGGGCCACTGAAAAAGAGGAAGACCCTCAGTGAGATGGACTGACACAGTGGCTGCAACAATGGGCTCAAGCATAACAATTGTGAGATGGTGTTTTGTTGTACACAGGGTCACCATGAGTTGGAACCAACTCGATGGCACTTAACAATAACAACAATACCTAATACAACATGATGAACAAAACAGGTGTTTAATAAACAATGAGAAATGAATGAATGAAAAAAGAATATTTAAAACATGAAAACTATTTATAAATTATAGAAGAAAAGTTAATGCTACATCCACTTGCATTAAAAGCTAGCAGGGAGGAGTGACTGCGTAAGAGTGTGAAGGAACTTTTTGGGGTGATGGAAGTATTCTATATCATGATTGTGAGGCTGGTTACACAACTGTATATATTTGTCAAAACTCATCAAATTGTACACTTAAAATTGTTGGATTTTGTCATATATAAAAAATACCTCAATAAAGCTAACAACAAAGAAGAAAACTAATAGGCTCTTCTTTTGGAGTACATAATACAAAATATTAAAAAAAAAAAAACCCAAAGCTTTAATTGAAAATACAGATATAATTAAATCAATAGTGAACTATAAAAAGTGTCCCTGTAACTTAGAAGATACTACAATAACTTCGCTTTTCTCCTTTTCTTACTGCTTAAAATAACTGAATAATTAATTCTCATATTTATATTATGAAAGTCATATCTGTAACAGTGTATAAAATACACTACACGAGCAATTTTAAAGAATAACAAAGTCAATCCACTTTTGTTTCTTCCTTAAATCAAAAGTGCTTACAATAGTAGCACGTGGAAGCCCATAAAAGGTCCTTGCCTTTTCTTTTGTACTTTTGAGAAGACACTCACCTCTTCCTTTGATGATTCCAAGTCGAGCTGTAGTGAGAGGTACATAATGATATGAGGAGTGTTTAGAATATTCTGCTGGCTATCTTCAACCTCTTCTCCCCACAGAAGTTTCACTAAATCGCTTGTATTCATCTGCGCCTTTTTCTGTTTTGGTTGAGTTGTTTCCTGTTTCACAGCATATGCATTTTCAAATGTCAGTTTCACCTTTAAAAATTAAGACAATGTGTTGATATTTCAATCAGGAAAAATCAGCTGTGATTTTCACAAAGAAGGATCTGTATATGCATATATACTTAGGTATGCACTTGTAAAAACCCAATGCTGTTGAGTCGATTCTGACTCACAACTCTGTAAGACAGAGTAGAACTGCCCCACAGACTTTCCAAGGCTGTAATCGTTACAAATGCAGATTGCCACATCTTTCTCCCTCGGAGAGGCTGGTGGGTTTGAATCACTGACTTTTTGGTTAGCAGCCAAGTGCTTTAACCACTGTGCCACAAGGGATCCTTTGCGTATGCACAGTATTTATAAATCATCACAGAGTGTGGGGTCCTTGATGGTAGGGACTGTGTCATATTTATATTCCTGTCTCCAGCTCCTAGCAGATATTATTGCAAATATTTATTAAGAATATAATGCTCTGCATAAAACATTCATTTATTTAAACTTAATCACTGTATCTAAGTTGTTTTTTAATCTAAGAAAGTTTTTTAAAAAAAATTAACTTTATACATCTGTATCAAAAACGTTTAAGAAAAAAAGCACATCATAAAAAAACACCCATAATTCCACCAGCCCAACCAACTGCTATGTATTTTTTACTGTAAAATAAGTATATTTTTTAAACTTTTTAAAAATTTTGTTGTTTTTGTTGAGAATATACCCAGGAAAACATACACCAAGTCAACAGTTTCTACACGTACAATTCATTGACATTGATTACATTCTTCAAGTTGTGCAACTGTTCTCACCCTCCTTTTCTGAATTTTTCTTCCCCCATTAACATAAACTCACTGCCCTCACTAAGGTTCCTGTCTAATCTTTCGAGTTTCTGTTCTCACTTTGATCCCATATAGACAGTTCTTAAAAGAGCATAGTGCTCAAGGCAGACATTTTTTTACTAGTTAAGTTAAACCATTGTTCGGTTTTAAGAAGACTTCAGGGGATATTTTTGGTTTAAGGTTTAAAGAGTATCTCACAGCAATAGTTTCAGGGGTTCATCCAGCCTCCATGGCTCCAGAAAGTCTGGAGTCCATGAGAATATGAAATTCTGTTTTCTATTTTCCCCCTTTTGATCAGCATTCTTCTATAGAATCTTTGATCAAAGTGTTCAATAATGGTAGCTGAGCACCATCCAGTTCTTCTGGTCTCATGGCAAAGGAGGCAGTTGTTCATGGAGTCAGTCAGTCATGCATTCCATACCCTCTTCCTGTTCCTGACTCTCCTTCTTCCTCTATTGCTCCAGGTGAATAGAGACCAATTGTACCCTGGATGGCTGCTGGCAAACTTTTTCTTTTTAAAATCATTGTACTTTAGATGAAGGTTTACAGAACAAACTAGCTTCTCATTAAACAGTCAGTACACATATTGTTTTATGACATTGGTTAACAACCCCACAACATGTTGATGCTCTCCCTTTTCGTCCTTGGGTTCCCTATTACCAGCTTTCCTGTCCCCTCCTGCCTTCTAGTCCTTGCCCCTGGGCTGGTGTGCCCCTTTAGTCTCGTTTTGTTTTATGGGCCTGTCTAACCTCGGGAGTAACTTCATTACTCAGCTAAAAGAGTGTCTGGGGGCCATTCTCTTGGGGTTTCTCTAGTCTCTGTCAGGCCAGGTCTTTTTTTGTGAGTTAGAATTTTGTTCTACATTTTTCTCCAGCTGTGTCTGGGACCCTCTATTGTGATCCCTGTCAGAGCAGTCAGTGGTGGTAGCTGGGCACCATCTAGTTGTGCTGCACTCAGTCTGGTGGAGGCTGTGGTAGTTGTGGTCCATTAGTCCTTTGGACTAAACTTTCCCTTGTATCTTTAGTTTTCTTCATTCTCCCTTGCTCCTGAAGGGGAGAGACCAGTGGAGTATCTTAGATGACCACTCACAGGCTTTTAAGACCCCAGACGCTACTCACCAAGGTAGAATGTAGAGCATTTTCTTTAGAAACTAAGTTATGCCAGTTGAGCTAGATGTTCTCCGAGACTATGGTTCCCACAGCCCTCTGCCCAGCAATTTGGACCCTCAGGAAGTTTGGATGCGTCTATGGAGCTTCCATAACCTTGTCTTGTACAAGTTGTGCTTGCTTCCCCAGTATTGTATACGGTCTTACCCTTTATCAAAGTTACCATTTATCTACTGTCTATTTATTGTTTTTCATCCCCACCCCTTGCTGGCACGCTTTAAAGACCCCAGGCACTACACGACGAACTAGGAGGTAGAACAGAAGCACTAAACAAGTTATTAGGACAATTAGCTGGGATGTCCCATGAAACCATGACCCTAAACCTCCAAACCAAGGAACCAAATTCCGTGAGGTTTTTGGTTGCACGTAAACAGCTTCAACTGCTACTCTTTTTTTTTCTTGTCATTGTTGTAAAAATACCTATCACACAACTTTTACCTTTTCAACTTTTTACAGGTGTACAACTTACTGACAGTAATTACAATAATCGGCTGTTCAACCCTACCCTTATTCAATGTATAAAATAAATGTTTCTGAATGATCAAAACTTTCCAAAAGGAAAAAGAAAAATCTAAATAGTCCTTTCTGTTGGCAAGGAATGACGTTTATGGTGGCACTCAATTTTGCTTACGTGTAGCAGAGTGTGGCATTAGTTGGAATTGATCTGACGGCAACTGGCTTAGTTTGGTTTAAGTGATCACTGTGTACCTGAAGTGAATTAAGTTAAATAAACAACTTTTCTAAAATAAGTCTCAGGTTTTATTTTATAAACAAGTAGAAAGGAGAAGAGATATGGGTTTCAAACTCATCAGTATGTTTATCTATTCACAATGAAGATGAAGTAGGTCAAGACTAGCAGTAATCTGTATAAAAAAAAATAACAGTAAATTAATTTATAGAGCATAGGAGTGAAGAAGCTCCTCACGAAATTTTCTGATCTGGAGTATTCTGAAAATCTTAAGTCTGTACTCTTTTGGCCTACTCTGGGTTCTGATGATCATCTTTCTTTATAAAACATTTAAAATAATTTCAAATATATATACAAATTATACAAAATTCTTGGAACAGGGATCTGAGGAACTCAACGGCTTGGTGGCCGGGGGTTCTTTTATCTGGGAGCCTTTAATGGTGTTACCTGTAAATGTGCGAAATCATTAGAATTTGGGGAAATCCTGGTTACAGATTTTGTGACACAATACAAGCAAAAAACCAAACCAGTGGCCATCCAGTGGTGTTTGAGTCATGGCGACCCCATGTGTATCACAGTAGAACTGTGCTCCAGAGGGTTTTCAATGGCTGTGACCTTCGGAAGCAGATTGCTAGACCCTTCTTCAGGGGTGCCTCTGGGTGGATTTGAACCACCAACTTTTTGGTTAATAGCTGAGTGCTAAGTGTTTGCACCACCCAGGGACTCTTGTGATGGGATAGGTAGGAGCTTTTAAGATTGTCCCCTGACGTTGGGCTTTAGAGAAGAGCTAGGTATACAAGTCAAGTGGAAGGAGAGAAATCCGATCTGAGGAAGCACAAGATGTGTCCTCTGGAGTGTCTGTGAGAGCTGTGCATATAGTCAGTGGTGAACAGGGAGAAGATGGATGCTCAGACAAAGTGTCTCAGAACAGGGAGAGCATCTTTTCTATCTGAGATTCTTATGGTGGAGAGGTCAAAAGATAGGGTGTGACTAACCAAAAAATGACAAAAGGGAAATGAGTTGTTAGGCTTAAAAATAAAAATTCACTGATTTTACTTTATGTAGCAACAACAATCTAAAATTTAAGACTGGTTTGCTAAGCTTTGAGAAAAACGACATACTTGAAAACTAACTTTAATGTTGTACTTGGCAAATGACCGCGCTTCTTTTCTGTGGTACAAGGACCTTTTCCCCATCATCATGACAAAAACCCAAACAAAAACACAATCCACAGAACCATCCATTAAAATTCTCCAAGGAGCTATTTTAGCCACCATTCTTCTCACTGAGGTAAAGTTAGCTCCATCATGCAAATATAATTACACTTTAGCAAGGCATTTTGAAAAGCTTTCATGTTAAATAGTGATAAATGTCAGGAAATCTGTTTGCCTTGATAAAAAGATAAAGGATGAGTTATATGACCCAACTAGGAGCTAACTGCTATTTTTAAAAAAGGATTGATATACATAAATATTAAGGATATTATGTGTTTTATAAGAAATATTTTTTATAAGAAACACATGAGAATTTATATGAAATTTCTTATAAAAAAATTTTTCCTGTTGTTTCTCCACAGACTCTTCAGTGACGAGTTTCATCACTGCTGCTTTCTACAAAGACTAATCTTAACTTCATTGTAAGGCTTAAAACAGACTCATTCCCATGGCCCATTACTTTAGTAACTCTGAAAACTCTCACTGCATCACCATTCCAAACTCCTGAGCTCATTTATAGACCCTACATTCCCATTCTGCAAACCTCCAGCTTTAGCACAACACAACTATACCTTTTTTCACTCAGGCACTCCTACTGTTAATGCTACTTGAGAGGAAAAAGAAAAAAAAAACAAACAAAAAACACAGCCACATAAAATAGTGCCAGTGCAAATTCGTTCTCTCTAATCTGAGCTGGGCCCTCAGGACAATCCTACAGGTCTCTCATCTCCACAATAGTTATTTCAAACTTCTACCAATCTCCTAACTTCCTAAACCACTTCTCCACCCCAGCACACAATAGACTCCTTGCCTCCCACATCATGAAGGAAACAGCAGAACTTCAGGAGTAAAATCCCTCATCTTCTATGTCCCCCCAAACGTTTTCTTATTTGTGCAATGTGCCCATCCTGTCCTCCTTCCCTCCTAGTTCAGGTCCAAGGATCTGATCTACAAATCATCACTTCTGAAGTCTTGTGCTTCCATTAGTCCCTCTCTCTACGTCTGTCTTCAACCCATCCCATTTTATAAGCAATGTCTCCTCAGTCTCTAACATTAAAACAAAGAAACAAACAAATCCTCTCTGGATCCTTTAGCTATCATATTTTTCACAGAAGGGACCTGAGGAAAATCTGAA